AAAAAAACGGTTATTTGACCGTTAAGAACAAAAGCATCATCATAATGAAAGTTCTCAATATGACACGTAACATAAATAGAATTTTCAATTCAATATGACACGAGGATTTCCCCCCCGCTCTATTTTAGTATTCCTCCCAAAATAAATAATTCGATGCAATGATTGCAATCTCAGAACAAGAGGGGGGTGGGGGGAGGGGGGGAAGGTGGTTGAAGGTGGTTGTTGGCATGCTACAGAGAATATTCAGCGGATTTTTTTTATTTTAATCTCCTTATTCTTATTCCGAAATGTAAGAAAAGAGACCTTTTTTTTTAAGGTGGCGTGGAGAGAATTTTCAATTTAAAAAAAAAATGTTGTTACGTACTGACTGCCGGCTACAGAGATGTCCTCCCTCTCCTCATCCCGACGGGAGAATCGGGTTGTACAGGCCGTTTCAAGATCCTCTGCGGCACCAACTAATCAACCAACCAATCAATTAATTCATCATTGACTAATCAAGTAATTACCCAATCGATTAATTAGTGAAGAACTTGTCACGAACCTCTGCGGCATCAGCTAATCAATCAATCAACCGATCGATTAATAAAGTAATTGACCAATCCATTAATTAATCAACTGCATAATCAATCGAGCCTCTGCGGCAGCAGCTAATCAATCAATCAATCAATCAATCAATCAATCAATCAATCAATCAATCAATCAATCGAGTATTCACGTACTTAACCAATCGAATAGTTAATCAACCAATTAATCAAGTGATTAATGGGATCAATTCGCGACGTGCTGAAATGAACATTACGCTTGCCGATTTATTAAAATCATTCGCACGAAAAACAAAAAGAAATCGCATAAAAAGAACGGCCAACAATTAACCGAACGAATACCAATCAAGTACCATCGATCTAGTGCAAAGGGGAAGGGAGGTGAAGGGGCGCGCGAAGGAAAAGAATGGCCAACCCACAAATATTTTTTTCGTCCACGTCGTCGACTAAGTATAAGGGGCAAATAAAGTTGATGCCTATACACGCAATGGTTGACGTCATCAACAAACATTAATGACACCTGCTTTGGCCCGAGTCTCCATCCCCGCAGGCAGAAATATGTTTATGGTTGATGTCATCAACAATGCCTGGCTCGGTGGCAAGCCCCCGGTCTCGAGCGCGACTTCCCCCTCTAAGAAAAAAAAGAAGAAAACAGAAAAAAAAAACAGAAAAAGGACGGAATTGCCGAGGGGAGAGAGAGAGAGAGCGACAGAAGGAAAGAGAGAGAGAGAGAGAGAGAGAGAGAGAGAGAGAGAGAGAGAGAGAGAGACAGAGACAGAGAGAGGAAAGGTATATAGATTTACACAGAAATAATAGAAGACGACAGGAGGGGCGAAAGAAAAGGGGAGTGCCGACGAGGTGTCACGGCGAGGTGGGTTTTAGCATTTTAAATTTCTGAGAAAAAGAAAAATGTGCAAAAAAAATAAATCAGAAAGTGAGCAAAACAATGACGCCGGCTAATGACGATTCGTTCATGACATCGACTAATCGATCGATTAAAGCCTTTTTTTCTCCTCGATGAAAGACACTTAAACCCCCTAAAACCGAATATCCAAGTTTCAATTTAGCCTTTTTTTTAAATCCAAGTCCGTGAGAGAGCGAACAGTTAGAATCTACTGGGGGAGGAACTGAAGAACGAAGACAGCAGAAGTGCCGAAGGCACGGAGGAGGAGGAGGAGGAGGAGGAGGAGGAGGAGGAAGAGGAGAGGAGTGCAAGTTAGCGGAGCACGTCGCGACGGGAATCAGGTATTGTGGGGACCACCACGCACGGGAGAGCTTAGAGGCCGCTCTGAACAACTCGGTTGTGCCGTTACGCCATCCTACCGGTAGCGTGGGGACCACCACGAACTGGACAGCTCAAAAGCCGCTTTGGAAAATACACACACACACACAGACACAGAGAGAGAGAGAGAGAGAGAGAGAGAGAGAGAGAGAGAGAAGAAAAGGGAGAGAGTCGTTTATAGATACAGAGAGACAAGGCAGCAGCCGTACGTAGGCTGTAGGAGAATAGCCAAGAACGAAGGCAGGGAAGCAAGTCGATTTCTACTAGCTAGGTAGGTGGGTATGTCTGGAGAGAGAGAGAGAGAGAGAGAGAGAGAGAGAGAGAGAGAGAGAGAGAGTTTAGAAGTGGAGATGAGATCTATGAGTCAAATGAACCCGATAGTCAAGGGTCGGTCAACCTGAAACCACCACAGGGCCCATCCAACGGTATAGAATGCAACCAGGAATCCTACGGAAGCAGTATCGTACGGACACCAACACATCGTACGGACGACGCAGGAAATCATCATTCCTCTGGCTAAACTACACCATGGCAATGTCAGGCCATATTCTCGCTGCTGCCTCCGTCTCAACTTACGTCCTCCATCGTTAAAACGACGAGAACTAAACAACGGCCTACCCTACCCGAGCTCAGTTATTACCTCCATGACCCATTCCAATATTAGACCTGACCTGAGTTCGGACCCGAAAGAGCGGAAAATGACGAGAAGGAAACGCACTCTCGAGAGCGGGAGGGGGCACAACAACGAAGAGAGGTGCAACGACAGAGTCAGACACACGACGGCCTGGGAATGGGGAGAGAAGGAAGAGGGGGGGAGCTTAGAGCAGGGGGGGTTGAGGTAGAGGGGGGTTGTGGAGTGCTGATCGTGGCGGTGTTGCGACCATCGACGAGAGGAGAGGGAGAGGAGAGGAACGGGAGAGGGAGAGGAGAGGAGAGGAGATGGTGAACGAGGGAGAAGACGGGTGAGAGAGAATCCCTGGGCCAGCAGTAAAACAAAAAAAAAACAAAAAAAACAAAAAAAACGGGGACAGCAACAGTGTTGCACTGGCGCGCGCTTTTTTCATTCCTGGCCGTAGATTATGAAAATAGACGGCTAGAAACGAAAACGGAAAGCGCGCGCAAGTGGGACCCCCATCTCCCGCGCCCGCGGTCTTTTTCCTACTTCAAAGGGCGGGAAAGTTTTGGGACGATAATTGACAAAACAAATGCCGTCGCATCTGTGCGTGTTCTAAGGGAAGATTCATTCTCGATTTGCAACTTCGGATGAGAGGATTGGACGACGAAATGCAGCGCCAGAAAAAACACGCGCACCCCTGCGGCCGCTGATCACCGCTGGCCGCAAAAAAAAAAAAAAAAAAAGCAAAAAAAAAAAAAAAAAAAAAAAAAAAGGGGAGCGGTCTTCATCTCTGAAGCCGAATCGAACTCACGGTCATTATCGCGGCATCGAGACTGACCG